TGGATTTTAGAGAAATGCGCACAGCTTCACGTGCACATCCCCCACTCACGTGGCATTTGGAGAAATGCGCAAAGCCTTGCTTTACGTGGACATTTACCATATTATCTGGAATTTAAGTTCATGGAAACCCGACCATATCGGCCAGCCGGAAGAGGCCGGCTCGCACATCTCAGTGGTGATGGGAGCCCTGCCTAGGACATCCTTACACAGGAGGATCCTGGTGATGCCCTCGTACCTCCCGTTCGTTGCCTCAGCAAGAAGGAGTACGCCGGTGGCCAGGAAGCCCCATTTTCAGAGAAAAGCTCTCACAGTGCACGCAGATTGCCCCCTCGAGGACATCGCGTGCGTGCTCCTCGCCCAAACAAACAACGCATAGATCGTGTGAATCATCGGGTGTCAGGAACCGCTGGCACGGATGTACACACTTTCTAAACGCTCCGCTAGTGCTCGCCATAGTAGGAAAAGAAATACTCTTACTTTGCTTTTGGAATGCACGCTTCAAACAGAACGGTCAGTGAAGACGAAGAAAGTGATGATGTGCGCTACCGGCGCCTATTTTGTACTAGTTGCGACGGTAGTGACGTCATGGCTGTCGCCGGCCAAACAAGTTGGTGTTTTTTCAATGTAGGCTTCAGACACGGGTCACGACGAGGCGTTCCCCCATAGCGACCCCTAGAGGACGCAGTTCGAAGTTCCACGAAAGGCAACCTATTTTATACACATATTTTGTAGACTGTACTTCCAAACATGGCTCCAGTTCTTCTTATTAGGCCAGGGGTTGGCAACCTTTTGGTCATGAAGTGCCATAATTGTATAAATACATGATTTATACATGTAATACATGACCATTTTTTACATGAGTTTACGGTTTGTGTGTAAATGTGTAAATGAATGTTAAGAGCAACAAATACAGAATAAAATGTAAACTGTCATGCACTCAATCGCATAGTTTGACTCAAGCGCCGGCCAAACAAGTTGGTGTTTTTTCAATGTAGGCTTCAGACACGGGTCACGACGAGGCGTTCCCCCATAGCGACCCCTAGAGGACGCAGTTCGAAGTTCCACGAAAGGCAACCTATTTTATACACATATTTTGTAGACTGTACTTCCAAACATGGCTCCAGTTCTTCTTATTAGGCCAGGGGTTGGCAACCTTTTGGTCATGAAGTGCCATAATTGTATAAATACATGATTTTTACATGAGTTTACGGTTTGTGTGTAAATGTGTAAATGAATGTTAAGAGCAACAAATACAGAATAAAATGTAAACTTGTCATGCACTCAATCGCATAGTTTGACTCAAGTGAAATTGACTTGCGTGAAAGAACAATGCTGCATTGATCTGAATCAAGTTGACTAGTGCAGGTTAATTCAAACACTTTAATAGCATTTCTAGCTCCTAACTTAATAAATCAGGCTGTGTGAGTATAAATAAGGATTACAGCAAAATGTACATCTGCATTCATGTTCGAGGGAATACATTTAACTATAACACACACACCTCTTTTGCTATTGCTCACGTGTCAGTGATTATCCCTCTCCGTGCCAATGCTGGCTCACGTGCCATACATTGCAGACCCCTGTTTTAGGTTTTTGCATGTTTTGAAATCACATAATACACAAATTATCAGAAAAACTGCTTCTCCTTTTCCTACCTTCGTAATTTCCTGTTCAATCTAGTCTAAACACCATTTTTCAAGTTGGAAAAAATAGCTAATTGAGAAACAGAACATACTGGGGATTTACACAGACGTCAGAATACATAAACATCAAAATAAATAATAATGTCTTTATATACTATACACATATATAATAATTAAATTTTACATGTATTATAAATATCATACATTTACATATACATTTTTATGAATAAATTATATATACAGTGGAGATCAAAATTAGAGCACAACCTACAATTTCCTCAATTTCAGGGTCACTACGTAGTCCTATTTGAAGTTATTCTAACAGGAGTAGAAGGGCAGTTTCGTAATCTTTTCGTAAAGCATATTTCGTAATATTTTCATTAATTGTATTCTGAAGCACAGTATAAAAACTTAAATGAGATGTTTGAAAAATAACTCTAATTTCCTTAATTATATGACAAACCATATTTAACTGGCAGCATTCCTCCAATTTTCACTGAGATTGCAAGATGGCGGGCCAGTCTAATATGACTGAAATCCTGTGACAGGAGGTTGTCTAGATGAAGGCCAAAGGGATGACCCTTTTAGCCATCGCAAGAGAAGTTTGTCATTCCAAATCTGTAATTTCTCGAGTATAGCAGCTTTACAGTTCACTACACTAATAGTACACAGTAGAATTAGTACACTAATTCATTCAAGTTCCCCAAAAAGGCTGGTCGTCCACATAAGACAAATGCACAAGAATACAGGATGCAGAGACTCTCAATGGGGAATCGGTTCAGCACTACAGCTGGAATTGCTCTCCAGTTCAGCGATGAACAGGGTATGAATCTGTCTCGACACGTTTAAGAGAAGTTGGACTGAAAGCGCACTCTGCAGTGATGAAGCCTCTCATCAGCAGAAAGAATCAAAAGGCTAGGCTCACCTTTGCTGAGGAGCATGTTGTGTGGAGAGAGGAGAACTGGTCGAAAAAGAAAAAGCTCTTACTTTGCTTTTGGAATGCACGCTTCAAACAGAACGGTCAGTGAAGACGAAGAAAGTGATGATGTGCGCTACCGGCGCCTATTTTGTACTAGTTGCGACGGTAGTGACGTCATGGCTGTCGCCGGCCAAACAAGTTGGTGTTTTTTCAATGTAGGCTTCAGACACGGGTCACGACGAGGCGTTCCCCCATAGCGACCCCTAGAGGACGCAGTTCGAAGTTCCACGAAAGGCAACCTATTTTATACACATATTTTGTAGACTGTACTTCCAAACATGGCTCCAGTTCTTCTTATTAGGCCAGGGGTTGGCAACCTTTTGGTCATGAAGTGCCATAATTGTATAAATACATGATTTTTACATGAGTTTACGGTTTGTGTGTAAATGTGTAAATGAATGTTAAGAGCAACAAATACAGAATAAAATGTAAACTGTCATGCACTCAATCGCATAGTTTGACTCAAGCGAAATTGACTTGCGTGAAAGAACAATGCTGCATTGATCTGAATCAAGTTGACTAGTGCAGGTTAATTCAAACACTTTAATAGCATTTCTAGCTCCTAACTTAATAAATCAGGCTGTGTGAGTATAAATAAGGATTACAGCAAAATGTACATCTGCATTCATGTTCGAGGGAATACATTTAACTATAACACACACACCTCTTTTGCTATTGCTCACGTGTCAGTGATTATCCCTCTCCGTGCCAATGCTGGCTCACGTGCCATACATTGCAGACCCCTGTTTTAGGTTTTTGCATGTTTTGAAATCACATAATACACAAATTATCAGAAAAACTGCTTCTCCTTTTCCTACCTTCGTAATTTCCTGTTCAATCTAGTCTAAACACCATTTTTCAAGTTGGAAAAAATAGCTAATTGAGAAACAGAACATACTGGGGATTTACACAGACGTCAGAATACATAAACATCAAAATAAATAATAATGTCTTTATATACTATACACATATATAATAATTAAATTTTACATGTATTATAAATATCATACATTTACATATACATTTTTATGAATAAATTATATATACAGTGGAGATCAAAATTAGAGCACAACCTACAATTTCCTCAATTTCAGGGTCACTACGTAGTCCTATTTGAAGTTATTCTAACAGGAGTAGAAGGGCAGTTTCGTAATCTTTTCGTAAAGCATATTTCGTAATATTTTCATTAATTGTATTCTGAAGCACAGTATAAAAACTTAAATGAGATGTTTGAAAAATAACTCTAATTTCCTTAATTATATGACAAACCATATTTAACTGGCAGCATTCCTCCAATTTTCACTGAGATTGCAAGATGGCGGGCCAGTCTAATATGACTGAAATCCTGTGACAGGAGGTTGTCTAGATGAAGGCCAAAGGGATGACCCTTTTAGCCATCGCAAGAGAAGTTTGTCATTCCAAATCTGTAATTTCTCGAGTATAGCAGCTTTACAGTTCACTACACTAATAGTACACAGTAGAATTAGTACACTAATTCATTCAAGTTCCCCAAAAAGGCTGGTCGTCCACATAAGACAAATGCACAAGAATACAGGATGCAGAGACTCTCAATGGGGAATCGGTTCAGCACTACAGCTGGAATTGCTCTCCAGTTCAGCGATGAACAGGGTATGAATCTGTCTCGACACGTTTAAGAGAAGTTGGACTGAAAGCGCACTCTGCAGTGATGAAGCCTCTCATCAGCAGAAATAATCAAAAGGCTAGGCTCACCTTTGCAGAGGAGCATGTTGTGTGGAGAGAGGAGAACTGGTCCAAAGTTCACTTTAGTGATGAGAGCAAGTTTAATTCATTTGGGTCTGATGGGAAACATTTTGTTCAGTGTCAAACTGAGGAAAGACTAAAGTCCAAGTGCGTAAAGAAGTCCGTGAAAGGTGGAGGAGGAAGTGTCATGCTTAGGGGATGTTTTGTGCAGCAGGAGTTGGGCCTCTTATACAGCTACATGACAGAGTGAATGCAAATATTTATCAGAACCTCCTTCAGCAACATGCAGTTCCTTCCCTGCAAGCATCTCCCAATCAGCCTGCAATTTTTTTTATGTAGGACAATGTCCCAGTCACACTGCAAACTGAGTAAAGCAGTTCCTTGAAGCTGAAAGCATTGAAATAATGAAATGGTCAGGCCAGAGTCCTAATCTAAACCCAATTGAAAATCTCTGGAAAATCATTGGCAACAAAGTTATGGCTAAGAAACCCACTACAGTTACCGAACTATGAAAGATACTGGAAGAAGAGTGGACCGAGATCACACCAGTGCAGTGTGAGAAACTAGTGATGTCCTGCGTCCGCAGATGTGCTGAAGTCACTCAAAGCAGGAGCCTCTACAATACCTACTATAATTTCTGACAGCTGTAGCCCTGTAGCCCAAGATTTTGTTTGTAATCTTCTTTTATGCTATAGTGGTTACTGTTCTCTAATTTTGATCACTGTGATTTCCACAAAATTAAAGTTTTGTTGAAATGCCTTGGTTATTTTGTCAAATGTTAGTGGATCAGTGGCATACCTACAGATAATATTCCTTCAAATTTTGAGCGATGAAGATTAACAATATTTGAGAAAAAATCAAGTATTTATAGATTTTCTCTCATTTTGACCTCCGCTGTATATCCTGAAATGATGACATAACAATCATACATTATTGAACAAAATATGTTTTGTCCTTGTTTTGTTTTCGCTCTTCCTCACTGTTTTTCTTCTCCAGAGGTTTGAAGGACATGGAACAGGAAATTTCCTCTTTTGAGAAGCGTTTCGCTTACGGGTTCCTGCAGAAGCTGTTGAAGTGGATGGAGATTGCGCAGGAGTTTATTGCTCATCTTGGTATACATTCATAGATCCATAGATACATTTCTTAGATCCAAAGAACTGTAGATGTTAGTTTTCATTTGAAATTGTATTTTTTTATGTTCTGTGTATTTGTTACTCCAGAGGCCGTTGTGAGCAGTGGAAGAGTTGAGAAATCTCCTCACGAACAGGAGATTAAATTCTTTGCCAAGGTGAGACACCTTTGACCAGAATATGTGTGTATGCGGAATAAAACAGGTCAGCTGTTTTCAGGATCACAGCCTCTCAAACTTTGCTCTTCCTCTTTATATTCTCTACATGTAGATTCTGCTTCCATTGGTAAACCAGTACTTTAAGAATCACTGCCTGTATTTCCTGTCCACACCTGCTAAAGTCTTGGGCAGTGGTGGTCATGCCTCCAACAAGGAGAAGGAGATGATTGCTAGGTAACTAATTCTACAGTGCTTCATTATTCTGTGGTAACCTAGTCAGATTTTATGTACCTTAAAGATTTTTAACATTTTTAAATGATGTCAGTTAGTTTTGATGTTGCGACCTGTCACATCCTCTCTGCTCCTCACACTTCTTCTTGCCTGTGGTTTTCTCTCTGCCCCTTCCCGGAGTATTTTCCCTCGGGTTCCCTCATCCTTTTTGTTACATTTATCTTTTATGGATCACATTATTTTGCTCCTACTTTTCCATCACCTTAACCTCGCCCCTTTTATTCCTCTTCGTGCCATTTCCTCTTTCCCAAACCGCCACCCCTCTTTTCTTCTTCTGTTTCTATCTATGTATCTTCTATCTCAGTATCTTCTGTAAGTTGGCCGGTCTGGTGAGACACAGGGTTTCCCTCTTTGGTAAGAATCCTGCATGATGACACGATTGCACATTTCATTTTTTCACTGCATCATCCCCTTTTTCTTTAATGTTTCCCATCAGCAGTATATCCATTCCTAATAGTTCGACTTATTTGCTCTTGAGTTCTCTTTGGCTTGAGTTCTCTTTCTTTCTTTCTTTCTTAAATATTATTTCTTTTTCTTTAATTAAAACAAAATAACTATTAAAATGGCATAAATAAGTAGTATTATTTAGTTTCATTAATTTAATTTAAGTAAAATAACAATATTTAAATTGTCATAAGTATTTATTTAATTGTATTTTATTTTATAAAAAATATTGAAAGTGGTGTAAATAAGTATTATTATTTAATTTAAGTCAAATAACGAAAATGGCATAAATAAGTAGAATTATTTAATTTAAGTAAAATAACAATTAAAATAGCATAAATATGTGGTATTTAATTTAATTTAGTCAGTTATTTCTTTCTCTTTTTCTTTCTTTCTTTCTCTGGGAGCTTTTCTAATGATTTGCTGTGCTTTGCTTAAGTTGGTGCATCATTTGCAGTGTTGACTCACTAGTCCTATAGTCCGAATAATTATAATAGGAGTACTGTATTTCAGAAGAATATCTGCTTTGGCTTTAATTCTATCACTTCATGCTATATCTGTGTCATATATTGTAGCATAGTATCCTCAGTCCACATGTTGTAGGTTAATTGTAGGTGAAAATAAAAGTCCCGTGTCATGCTCTGAATGCTTGTGTGTGCAGGCACTGATGCCTCAGCAGTGGTCAACTGTCTTCATATTCTTTCCCGCTCACTGGACGCCAGGTATGTGTGTTGACCACATGATTCCCAGTGTTTTACTAATGTTTACATCCTTAATTTCTGTTTATGAATAAAATGTCATGCTTTTATTTTTGTCTTTTGTCTTTTATTTTGCTTTTTCTTCCAGAACTGTGATGAAATCTGGGCCTGAGATTGTGAAGGCTGGTCTGCGCTCTTTCTTTGAGAGTGCTGCCGATGATATTGAGAAGATGGTTGAGAACCTCAAATTGGAGAAAGTGTCTACCAAAAACCAGGTCAGATGTAAATATAGCCCTGTTCTCAGAGATGTAACTTTGTTCTTTGCCAAAGTTGCTGAATTGAGCCTCTTTCCCTGCCTCTCTCTGTCTCTGTAACAGGTGAAAGGTGTATCTCAGAACATAAGCTACACCACCACTGCTCTTCTGCCAGTGCTCACCTCACTGTTCGACCACATCGCCCAGCACCAGTTTGGAGATGATGTCATGTGTGAGTTATTTTCATAGGTTTCAACAGAGTCATTTAACTTTGACTAAATTTAGCCTACATAGCTGAGTACATTTACTTAATTTATAAATAGATTAATTCATTACAGTAATAATTAACATTTGGGAAGAATTAAATTGAAAAGGCTGTGTATATTTTGCTCTTTCTACCAATTGAGTTTCAGTTTAGTGTGCTTCACTGACTAAAATAGCAAAAGTGAAAATGACATAAGTTAAATGTAATTAAATTTAAACAAAGTAAAATAATAAATGGTGTAAATAAGTAATATGATCAAATTTAATTTAATTTTAAATGATAAATGGTGTAAATGAGTAGAATAATATTTTTTAATGTAATTGAATTTAATAAAATTTAATTAAAATAAAATAAGAATAAATGGTGTAAATAAGTAGTATTATAAAAATAAGTTTCTTTAACATAACTACATTTAATATATAAATATATATATATATATAGTTATATTTAATATAACAAAGTAAAATAACAATAAATGAAAAGTAGTGTTATCTTATTTAATTTTATTTGTTTATTTAAATAAAGTAAAATAACAATAGTGTAAATGGTGTAATTTTAATTTTATAATTTAATTTAATTTAATTCCAGAAACTCAGCAACAAATTACTGAGGTAACAATGATTAATCAAAAGTTAGAAAATACAAAATCAGAATAAATCTGCAAGTAATTGTAATATTGTCATTGTTATATACGGTAGATCGCTCACTGTCCCTCATATTGTGTCTCTCTCCCTTCATCATTCAGTGGATGACTTGCAGATATCCTGTTACCGTATCATGTGCAGTATCTATTCCTTGGGCACTGTAAAAACCCCTCATGCTGAGAAGTAACAAACAGCTTTGCATATATGTTTTTGTTTCTATATGAGCCATTTTTACAGAATGTGTTATGTTAATAAATGTTATGGTGTGATATCACAGCCAAAGACCAGCTCTAGGAGAGTGTCTGGCTCATCTGGCTGCTGCTATGCCTGTTGCCTTTCTGGAGCCTCACCTCAACGAGTTCAACTCATACTCCGTGTACACCACCAAAACCCCTCGAGAGAGAACAAGTCAGTAGCTCACACTGAACGTATTCCATCTATAGGTGTTATCAACTAGTGCTTCCTTAACTACCTTATCATCCATGTTTTAGTCCTGGGTCTGCCCAGTCAAGTGCAGGAACTGTGTCTGGACATCCCTGAGCTGGACGTGTTGATGAAAGAGATCGGGGATCTGGCAGAGTCTGGAGCCCGTTATACAGAGATGCCCCACGTGATTGAGATCACCCTGCCCATGCTGTGTAACTATCTGCCCCGCTGGTGGGAGAGGGGACCGGAGAACTTCCCAGAGCAGGAAGGCTGCCTGTGCACGGATGTCACCTCCGAACATCTCAATCAGCTCCTGGGTAGCATCATGAAGATTGTCGTCAATAACCTGGGTATTGATGAAGCTTCCTGGATGAAGAGATTGGCAGGTGAGAGGAAACTAAATGTGGAGTCTTCAAAAAATACTAAGAATTTATTACGTAGTTCCTCCTGATATTCCTCCGCAGTGTTTGCTCAGCCCATTGTGAGCAGGGCGAAGCCTGAGATGCTTAAGTCCCACTTCATCCCCACCATGGAGAAGCTGAAGAAACGTTGTGGAAAGGTGGTGGCCGAGGAGGATCAGCTGCGTATGGAGGGGAAGACAGAGATGGACAGTGAGCAGGGAACCATTCGTGATGACTTTGCTGTGCTCTGCAGGGATCTGTATGCTCTTTACCCGCTACTCATTCGATATGTGGACAACAACAGGTATCTCTCATCCGCAGGATGATTTTATGGTCCATGTACTGTTTCAATCTATATTTTTGTTATGAGATCACCAACAGAAGTAACTTCAGATACTTTAAAGCCTTTGCAGTAGTAAAGGCCCATTTATACAAATGACAATAACTATATTAGTGTCCACACCAATGGATGATTTTGTAGTCCAGGTACCGTTTTATAGGGCTGCCCCCTAATAGTCGACTAATCGTTAGTTGACCAGAAGAGGCTTGGTCGTCCAAAATTGTATTAGTCGCTTAGTTGCAGGAAAAAAAAATCCACATTGGCGAAGTCACGCTGTCAGACTCTGTTCCGTGTTTTGTGTGTGTTTTTGCTCCCCATGTGTTTCCATGCCCTTATTTGGTCTTCCTGTTCCTGTCCTGATTATTTAATGTGTTTCCAGATGTTCCCCGTTGAGTTTATTGATCCCAGGCGTGTCCCTTTAGCCCCCTTAATATTTAAGACGTGTGTGTTTCCATGTTTCCTCGTCCGGTATTGTAAATGTCTTCTGGTCTCCTCGTTGTCATCCTGCCTGATTTGTATGCCTGTTTATTTATTAAAGTCTGTTTGTTTTGAGTTCATTTTGCATCTCCTCGTTTCCTCGCTGCCCGTTCCCTGTGAATCATGACAGAATACCGGACCAAGGACAGTAAACCGCGCCCCCTCTCCCGTGTGTGCTTTCCATTTTTTAAAAGTGTTTTGGTTTTCCGTTTGTTTCCCCCTGAGATCATGGAAATCGCCGCTTGTTTCTCCGCCTTAGCCCGCCTAGATCTCCCTTTCTTCGAGTACGCCTGGGAACTCTGCGGGCTCGCCGCGGCGACGGCATTAGATGACGCCACCATCAATTCCCTGTTCTGGCTCGGGGCCAACTACCATCGTCCCGTGGACCTCCCAGACACCATGGGACTATGCTGGAGGGAAGGGCTCTTCCGGTGTCTGGGTAGTGTCCGGGCCCAAGTCAGAACCAGTTCCTCAGTCAAGCCTGCTGACCACGCCTTTCACCCCAAACCTAAAGGGGAATCTAAGGAGGAGAAGGCGGTCGGCTTCAGCCCCAGAGCTCGCTCCAGTGTCGGCTCCAGCCCCCAAATCCAGCCCAAAGAGGGCTCCTGTCCCCGAGTTTAGCCCAGATAGGGCTCCAGTCCCCAAGTCAAGCCCAGGGAGGGCCACTGTTCCCGGGTTAGGCCTACGGAGGGCCTCTAAAGACGATATTCTCCCCAACGATTTTTTATTGTGGGGGGGGGTTAGTGTGGGTCCATCCGTAGTGGCCGGGCCGAGTGGCGAGGCCAAGGCCATGGAGGCTGTCCAGCCATGGCCTTCTGAGTTCCCTGCTCCGCCGTAGCCTCCTGAACTGTCTGCTCCGCCATTGCCTCCTAGTCTGCCTGCTCCGTCATGGCTTACTGAACTGCCTGTTCCGCCATGGCTCCCCGAGCTCCCTGTTCCGCCATTGCCTCCTGAACTGTCTGCTCCGCCATGGCTTCCTAGTCTGCCTGCTTCGCCATGGCGTCCCGAGCTCCCTGCTCCGCTATGGCCCCTGAGCTCCCTGTGCCGCAATGGCAACCTGGACTGCCTGATCCACCCTAGAGGTATTCCCCGTGTCCCAGTCCTGCACCAGCCTCCAGGGCACCCACCCCCCTCCCTAGTGGAATTGTTACGGCGCGGGATGCACCTTCCAGGAGGGGGAGTAATGTCAGACTCTGTTCCGTGTTTTGTGTGTGTTTTTGCTCCCCATGCTTTTCCATGCCCTTATTTAGTCTTCCTGTTCCTGTCCTGATTGTTTAATGTGTTTCCAGATGTTCACCGTTGAGTTTATTGATCCCAGGTGTGTCCCTTTAGCCCCCTTAATATTTTAAGCCGTGTTTGTTTCCATGTTTCCTAATCCAGTATTGTAAATATCTTCTGGTCTCCTCATTGTCATCCTGCCTGATTTGTATGCCCGTTTATTTATTAAAGTCAGTTTGTTTTGAGTTCATCCTGCGTCTCCTCGTTTCCTCGCTGCCCACTCCCTGTGAATCATGACACACGCAGATTATTAACGGCTGGTCTATGGTAATACAGTACAACCGGCAGGACATCCAAATGCTCGCCTATCAGTCATCCACCACAAATATGGCTTATATGTAAGTAGCAGCAATGTTACATGGCCGCTTAATCTAATGTTAACCTAGAAATGTGCGCTGTTTAAAGCTGGGCTCACACTGTGCGATTTTTTAAAAGTCCTTTATGATTGTACTTGTCAGACTGTACGAACATGATGATCATGTCACACTGTGGGATCTCAGTTGTCATTAATGTCAGACTGTACGACAGTCAAGATGCGTTAAAAACGGGTGCGCGCAAGAAAACTTGTCCGGAGATTTATATTATCAACCCATACACGTTCAGTGACTGTGAGCTGCATTGCACTCATGGCTGTAATGTTGGCTATCATGAAAGTATATGAATGGCGGCAATACTGGCATATTTAAGAATAATAGTGTAAGCAGCACTACACACCCACATGAAAACAGCAGCGCAACCGGTGTTTATCATAGCAAAGGCAACGTATCATATGAATTACGTGAGCGAAGGACGAGAGTGCCGGAGTTTATGCGGTTAGAAGAAATCTCTAGCATTAATTCTGATCATGGCAGTTTGACGTTCGTCGTGGGAGAAGTCACACTGCCAGAATTTCGTCGGAGGTAAAATTTGATCGCAACGGCCATTAATCGGCTGTCAGTGAACATGTCAAACTAATGATCAAAGACTACAGATTTTAGCCTAGGATTATAGGAATCTTTTAGGATTTTCAAAATTTGTCTCAGACGACCAAATCGTGGCCAAAGTTGCACATAGTGAGCCGGGCTTAAGTGAGAGTGGAAGAGTGGAAGCTGAACAGTAGTGCTCACTGCAGGACAGATGGAGGCGCCGGTGCGCTCACTTACTCTTAAAATACCCCGTAATTTTTGGTCATACAGATAAGAGTAATACATCTTTCAAGTCTGTAAAGACTCTACGTTTATATGTGTGCACTTACAATAACAACAAAACGCGCTTTTGTAAAATAATGAAAGCAAACAGGATGTGCTTTCTGCCGTCTCGGTCTGTAAACGTGAGCACGAAACTCTGAGTATATCTTTGCTTTACATACATTAAAAATATATCTATAGAGAGTGAAATGTCTACTTTAAAATGAACCAATTCAAATGAAAAACAAATATTATCAGATTATGTAATAATCCATGTGAAACATGCATATAGGTGCATCCACTACCGTGGAGATGACGAGAAAGCACTTGTTTATCAGTGAATAATGCAACGAGTAAAAAGACAGTATAAGTCATTATAATCCGTAATTATGTCCCCACTGGATGCAACAAATGCCTTGTTTATAATGGGTTTTAATGTTTTTGTCTCGTCGCTCCGGCCCGACAGGGCATCACAGTATGGTAAGGGGCGTAACATTTCCGTCACATGCTTGAGGTACTCGGCCAATCACAATGCACTGGATAGCTGGCCAGTCAGAGCACACCTCGCTTTTCAGACCGATGAGCTTTGTAAAAATCGACGCGTTTCAGAAAGGCGGAGCATAGAGGAGAAACAATGTACAGTATGTGGAAAATAATGTGTTTTTTTAAACCATAAACCACATAAACACATTTCATCACACCAAATACACCAAATAATGTTATTTTTAGCAACATCATATGACCCCTTTAAAATGAACGACTACTAGTCGACCAGAAAAATCCTTAGTCGAGGGCAGCCCTACTGTTTTAGGCTTTATTTTAGTTTTTTAGACACTTTGAAGCCTTTGCAGGAGTAAAGGTCTTTTGACACCTAAAACAATAACTAGATTAGCATACAAAGCAACAGACAATAAAGTTCTGTTTATTATAAGGTATAATAATCCTACATAATCCTACAGTTATGTAGTCTGCTGCTTGAAATACATTAAGGGATAGTTCACCCAAAAATAGATTTACTCACCCTCAGGAAATCCAAGATGTAGGTGATTTATTTTTCTTAAGTAGAACAGAAGATTTAGCTGAAACAATGGTCCATGGTGATTCATAAAATGCAAGTCAACGGCTAAAACAAAAAAAAAGCAGGCAATACAAAATTGATACCTGCAGTTCATGGTAATGTATTGAGGTCTTATGGAGCCAAATGATCATTATTTAGAACGCTATTCGGGAAAAAAAATTCTTAAAGTTATTCAAATAATATTGTTGCTTTGTGTCGTTATTGTTATAGCTGTGGTGTGTACTTCCCTATTCTCACAGAGTTAGAACTATTATTAAAACTTTATAGTTATTGTTATAGTTATCGTCCTTGTTGTGAATGACCCTAAAGACTAAAGTCATTCTAGAGAAGTCTTCTCTGATTTGGTTCTTTGTCGTTTAAAGGGCGAGGTGGTTGACCTGTCCTGACCCTGATGCTGAGGACCTCTTCAGGATGGTTGGAGAAGTCTTCATCTTCTGGTCCAAATCTCACGTAAGTCTGTTTTTTCCCTTTCTATAATTAAAATCCCATTGTCCTGTCTCATGTCTAGTTTCTTCTTGTCTCTTTGTCTTCTTGTCTCCTCCAACATGTCTTTAACTTCTTGTCTTATCTCATCTTGTCTCTTCTCATCTTTTCTAATCTCTTTTTATTCTTGTTTCTTGTCTTGTCACTTCTCTTTTCTCTTTTTGTCTGTTCTTGTCTATTCTCCCTTCCACTTTTCTAATAACTCTTTTATTATTATTTGCAGAATTTCAAGCGTGAGGAGCAGAATTTTGTGGTGATGAATGAGATCAACAACATGTCCTTCCTCACTGCTGACAGCAAAAGCAAGATGAGCAAGGTGGGTTTGTCCACTTACTGCTGCACAAAATTGACATTTGAGTGTAAATTTAAAAGTTGTGTTATTTTATGTACCTTCTCAATCATATCAAATTGTTAGTTAATAATTGATGTTTAGAAATATTTAAATTAAATTTGTTAGATTTGTTAAAAGTCCATTTCTTCAGATGACTGCTGACCTTGTGTCCTCTTCAGGACAGACACTGTTTCTACTCTCACAGTGGGTTTATAGATCCATTGATGTTTTTCCTGTCTGTGAGGGTGTAAGTTTTAACAGTGCTGTCTCTCTCTGTGTCCTGTCTCGCTGTGGAATCGGGGTGTGTAGGCCGGAGACGGAGAGGTCAGACTGTGTTTCTGCATGATAAAAAAAAGAACTGTGCTGATCGCATGGCGCACAAGCAGGGCTTTTCATCAAACTCCCACACACACTGGCAAACACTCACATATATTCACAACAACCAGAAGACCATACCCTCATTCAATGCCAGTGTGTGTGAGGTATGCTGGTACCTTGTTTGATGAAAGCCCTCAGCCATAGACTTTAGTCTCAGGATCATGGCACTTTCCGCTGGATCTTGAACTCTCGCTGGATCTGAGTTCCATCGTCCTGACAGTGATTTTGATTGATGTGCCTCTGATGGATTTTGACTGCTGCAAGTTCTTGCAGACTGATTCCTTTTCTTTATTTTAGTGTAGTTTGATGTTAATGTTTGATCTTACTGTTTTTCCCCACAAGCTCTGGTGGTGATGCTCTCTAGGAGCAAAAATATTCATTATCAAAATCAAACCATTACCCATCACTTAATCTTCACAGAATCTTCACATTACCAATGAGCACATTGGTAATGTAGGGAGGGAACATGGCTTTTCCTATAAAGGGAACAGTTCTCATTACATCTCTCATTTAATATTTCCCTTCCTTTGTTTAATTCATTCCAGTTAATGTGACTTTTGTGTCCATTCTGTTGACAAGTTAATAATTGACATGTTACCCAATCCCAACTCACTTGCTCACTTCCCTAAAAAGTTTGTCTCTGTTAGGTGTTAACTAGCACAATGATACTACTCACTTTGCAGGAGACCACCTCCTCCTCTGTGCTGTGAGACGCCATTACTGTAGCACCATCTGTTATCTCCTCACCATGGGTGCCCCTCTCTGCCTAATACATTCAGACGTAATATATTCCTCTCATCTCTTCTGGTCTCATCCCTACTGATATCTCTTCTCATATAGTTTAGTCTCTTCTCACCTCTTCTTTTCTCATGTCTCTTCCCCTCTCATCTCTTCTCCTTTCTTGTTTTCTTCTCTTGGCTTGTCTCATCTGCTCTTATCTAGGGCTGAAAGATGAAAATGGCGATTATCAAATGCGATTATGAAATCGCAAAGGCTGCGGTTTATTAAAATAAACAAAAGCACTGCGTGTTTCAGAGTGAAGCGTGGCACTGTGTTCATTTACACACAAGCAGCTCATGATCCGGTGTTTTTCGTATCTGCTTCTCACAATCTTCATCTCTGCATGTGCTGTGAGTTTCACTTATAATGTGCATTTAAAAACGCAACACATGCCAAACATTTTAATGAGAAGCGTTTATAAAGGAGAAGCTTTAACCTCGTAGTTTTCCAAATAAAAGCTTAGTCTGGAAATGAAGAAAATAAGATACAAATATTAGTGTTTTAATTTTACAGTTGTACTGTAAAATAAAATAATAATTACTCATTTATACTTATTATTTTTTCAAGTTATATTGACATTAGAGATCGACCGATAGTACCGATTATTTGCAAGTTTATGTGACCGATAACCTGTAACAAGTTACTTTACCTGTAAACGCCGTTGTTTGACTTGTCTCTTCAACATGCAGTGCCGTAATGGCAGTCTCGCACGCAATTCCTAAAGCCCACCGTATAATAAGTGCCATATATTGGTAAATCCGGCATTACAAATCCGATATCCAATAATGGAAAAATGCTTCAATATCAGGGAAAATATTGGTAAAACCAATTAACGGTCAAACTTTAATTGATATATAATTACCACATTTTTGTACAAATAGAGTGCTGCAGCAATGACGTCAAAACCCGGAAGACTAATTCGTCACTGGTTTCCTCGAGATTTGGGTTCTTATAATGGGATTTTTCAGTTCATGATTAAAATAAGGTCTGTGGTTAACATATTGTAAATTGCACACACTCACACAATGAACGTACTTGTGTGTTTTTTTCAAATAAATAACTGCTTTAAAATTCAGTATGTGTGTGTGCAAAATGTCAAAGTATCACCACTGACCTTATTTTACTCATGAATTGAAAAACCCCATAAAAAACCCAATGGAGAAACTTGAGGGAACCAGTGACGAATTAGTCTTCGGGGCAGTGTTGCCAGATTGGGCGGGTTCCCTCCCAATAGGGTGGTTTTGAATTTGATTATGCGGGCAAAAATTGGCTTGGGCGGGTGGACAAAATTTTGGCTGGTTTGGGGTCAGTTTGGTGGTTTTCAATCATATAAATTGCGTAGGCTAAACAAGATTTTAGCGTGATAAGTTATAGCGTATCTGATTTTGAATGTAGTGACTGTATATTCAGTTCAAATGGCCCTTATCAACCTTGATTTACATATTCCATAACATTATTTTGACAGTTAAAATTTTGGGCAGGTTTTTCTGAGCTTTTGGGCTGGAAATCGTCATTCCAATTTGGCAGCCCTGCTTCGGGGTCTTAACGTCACAGCTGCAGCACTTTATTTTGCAGCCATACAAACACGCTCAGCAAACCTAGAGCTCTTTTAAAAGAAATCACATTTTAAATCACAATCACAATTTTTGTTTTATAAAAAAAAAAATCACAATATGATTTATTTCCCCCCAAACTGTGCAGCCCTTGTCTCATCTCTCTTCTCCTCTTGTCTTTTCCTGTCTCTTCTCATCTTGCCTAGTCTCCTCTCTTCTCTTCTCTTCTCATTTCATGTCTTGTCTTGTCTAGTGTTTTCTTATCTTCATTTTGCTTTTGTCTTGCATCTCATCTCATGCTGAAAGGCCAGAGGGAGCTCTTGTTGTAGAAGGCAACAGTCATTAATGACGTCTTACAGGCACAGATTTAGAGAGTGTGTGTTAGGTTTGGAGCGGCCCCAAAGCCTAGTGTTGTTTTTAAGTGTGCTGTGCTGAAGGGTTGGCAAACTTACACTACTAACAATGAGACCGCTGTATGTTTAGCTCTAACATTTCCTAATAAACTGACTGATAAAACATGCCCTTAAAGCATGTTGTTATTTTCCCTCAATGCTATTTTGTTGAATTTCCCCATTTCCTTGTTAATCTGCAAAACATAGAAGGTAGCCACCATTAACACATTATTTAACAATGTAAAAGATGTAGCTAATCATCAACTATTCAGAAAGCAAGACAGAAGGTAGATGTTTACAGAGAATTGTTTCTGTATTCACATTATTCACTTAGAAAGCATCCCTTTAAAGACTTTTTGCCAATGAAATCAGTCTTTCCTAAAACAAATCCATATTCTTTTCCCAAAACAGTCTGTTTGTGGGCCAAACCTGTCTTTCTGGGTAAGAGCATCCTTGTGTCAGTCTAACTCTTCAGAGTTTTTATAGGGTGGAGGCTCAGATGTTGAGCGGTCTAAGAAGAAGCGCCGCGGGGACCGTTATTCCGTTCAGACCTCGCTGATTGTAGCGGCCCTGAAGAAACTGCTCCCCATTGGTCTCAACATGTGCTCTCCTGCAGACCAAGAGCTCATAAACCTGGCCAAGATCCGCTACTCTCTGGTACTTAGCCACATGCTTAGCCATATATTTTGATTAGGATGGCTGATTTACTGCTAAACAACACAACAAAAAACTCTTATACTACCGTTCAAAAGTTTGGGGTCAGTAAGATTTGTTCATATTTTTGAAACAATGCCGCAAGGCTGCATTTATCAAAAATACAGTAAAACAGTAATATTGTGTAATGTTATTACAATGCAAAATTATATATTTTTAAACGTATTTTATACTTGTGAAGGTAAAGCTGAATTTTCAGCAGTTATTACTTCAGTGTCACATGATTCCTTCAGAAATCATTCATATATGCTGATTTTGTGCTCAAGAAACATTTAGGTAACACTTTAGAATAGGGAACACTTATTCACTATTAACTACGACTTTTCCCTCAAGAAATTCCTAATTTGCTGCTTCTTAATAATTAGTAAGGTAGTTGTTAAATTTAGGTATTGGGTAGGATTAGGGGATTTGTTCATATTTTTGAAACAATGCCGCAAGGCTGCATTTATCAAAAATACAGTAAAACAGTAATATTGTGTAATGTTATTACAATGCAAAATTATATATTTTTAAACGTATTTTATACTTGTGAAGGTAAAGCTGAATTTTCAGCAGTTATTACTTCAGTGTCACATGATTCCTTCAGAAATCATTCATATATGCTGATTTTGTGCTCAAGAAACATTTAGGTAACACTTTAGAATAGGGAACACTTATTCACTATTAACTACGACTTTTCCCTCAAGAAATTCCTAATTTGCTGCTTCTTAATAATTAGTAAGGTAGTTGTTAAATTTAGGTATTGGGTAGGATTAGGGATGTAGAATAAGGTCATGTAGATTAAGGCATTAATACGTGCCTGATTAGTACTAATAAATGGCTAATATTCTAGTAATATGCATGCTAATAAAATCACAATCACAAAATCACTTTCTCAGACTTTTACATTAAATGTTCCCTCCTGGTGGAATATCCTGCCCAACTCAGTCCGAGCAGCTGAGTCCTTAGCCATCTTCAAGAATCGGCTAAAAGCACATCTCTTCCATCTTTATTTGACCCTCTAACTCTAGCGCTCTCTATTCTAATTCTATTCTTTATAAAAAAATGTAAAAAAAACTTGCCCCCTTTAGACTTGCACTCTATTTATTTACTAGCTGCTTGTTTTCTTAAAAAAAAAAATAATAACACTTGCTTCTCTAATCTTTTTGCATTCTATCTATTTGTTTTCTTTTTATTTATTATACAATTATAATTCTGACTTCTTCTGATTAACAAAAGCAAAAAAGGCCTTTAACAGTAGCTTGCTCTATTCTTTTTCTATTCTATCTGTTTTCTTTTTATTTATTATATGATTTAAAAAAAAAAACCTTGCTGCATGTACTGCGTTAAGCTAACTGAGACTTGTTATAGCACTTGCATATCATTGCTCTTTTGTTGATTTTGATTGCTTCCATTGTCCTCATTTGTAAGTCGCTTTGGATAAAAGCGTCTGCCAAATGACTAAGTGTAAATGTAATAAGCAACTAGTTAAGAGACCCTAAAATAAAGTGTTACCAACATTTATTATCAATGTTGAAAACACTTGTGCTCCTTAATATTTTTTTGTGGAAACCATGATTTTTTTGAACATCCTTTGATGAATAAAAAGTTTAAAAGAACAGCATTTATTTGAAAAAGAAATTTTTCATTATAAATTTCTTTACTGTCACTTTTGATCAATTTAATGCATCTTTGCTAAATAATAATAATAACAATTTTAAAAAGTATTTCTTTAAAAAACAATCTTACTTACCCCAAACCTTTGAAAGATAGTGTGCGCTGAGTAGTATAAATTTTTTGACTCGTTGGTCATTTGAATGTTACAGAAAGACACAGATGAAGAAGTGAGGGAGTTTCTGCAGAATAACCTGCATCTACAGGGAAAGGTAAGTATAGACACAGCCAAGTTAAGAAAACATCTAAAGTATAATATGTGACCCTGGACCACAAAACCAGTCATAAGGGTCACTTTTTTGAAATTGAGATTTATACATCGTCTGAAAGCTGTATGGTTAGGATAGGACAATATTTAGCCGAGATACAACTATTTGAAAATCTGGAATCTGAGGGTGCAAAAAAATAAAAAAATCTAAATATTGAGAAAATCGCCTTTAAAGTTGTCTAAATGAAGTCCTTAGCAACGCATGTTACTAATGATAATACATTTTTTATATATTTATGGTAAGAAATTTACAACATATCTTCATGGAACATGATCTTTACTAAATGTCCTAATGATTTTTGGCATAAAAGAAAAATTGATAATTTTGACCCATTCAGTGACCCATACAGACATATTGTTGGCTATTGCTACAAATATACCTGTGCGACTTATGACTTATGGTTTTGTGGTCCAAGGTCACATATAAGTGTGATTAACGTGCAAATAAATATGTTTAACATATTAAAATATGTTTAAACATTAAAATATGTTTAAAATATGCTTAAAATAAAGATTATTAATAAAACTAGAATTGTTAGAATTAGAACTAGAAACTAGAATTTCACCCCATAAATATTATAACAATGAACCAGAAACAATAAGAACACAATAAAAACAGTGATGGAAGACAACTTTTAAGGTCTCTCCATCACAATAAGTGTCTGTGTGTACACATCTCTGTCTGTCTGTAGGTTGAGGACCCGTCTATGCGCTGGCAGATGGCTCTGTATAAAGAGACCTCAGGTAAAGCCGAAGACGCAGATGCACCGGAGAAGGTTGTGAAGAGAGTTCAGGAAGTTTCGGCTGTTCTCTTCCACATTGAGCTGGTGAGGCCTGTTTGCATGTATACATGATGTTACACACTCTTTTTCCTCAGTGATGAGCCATTTCTTCTTCCTCTTTGTTTTCCTTTAGACCGAGCATCCATTCAAGTCCAAGAAGATGGTTTGGCACAAGCTTCTGTCCAAACAGCGTCGTAGGGCGGTGGTGGCCTGCTTCAGAATGACACCACTGTACAACATCCCCAAGTAAGACACGCATAACCTTCCTTTAATGGTGTCCAGGAGTAAAGTGGTATGCACAGACTTATTTTTCCTTTTATTTCAGGCACCGGGCATCTAATATGTTCCTTGATGGTTACAAGCACAATTGGATTGAAAATGAGGGTGACTCGTTTGAAGATAAGATGATAGATGACTTATCAGTAAGTCTTCATATCTGTTTACGCTCCCTGCTTACACCCGGTTGAGGGCAGTTTGTTCATAGTGTTGTTTTTTGCAGAAAGCGATGGAGCAGGAAGAAGAAGAAGAGGAAGAAACCGAATCGAAACCAGACCCCCTTCATCAGCTCATCCTTCACTTTAGCCGCACTGCTCTCACTGAGAAAACGTAAGCAAATCGCTCTGTGGTTTGGTGAGTGTGATGTCTTGACATAGTATTCCTTCTTAAGTAAAATCTCAATTATTTATATAGCACTTTATTAGTGCTGCTGTCAAACGATTAATCGTGATTAATCGCATCCAAAATAAAAGTTTTTGTTTACATAATGTATGTATGTGTGCTGTGTATATTTATTATGTATATATAAATACACACACATGCATGTATATATTTCAGAAAAATAGGTTATATTTATATATTATATATATTTATTTATAAAATAAATAATAGCAATATAAATATAGACATGTAAATACATGTAAATATTTTTTAAATATATACTTTGTGTAATTTATGTATACATAATAAATATACTCAGAAAACACACATATATTATGCAAACAAAAACATTTATTTTGGATGCGATTAATCATTTGACTGCACTATATATAATATTAATTGTTTCAAAGCAGCATCACAGAAATAAACAAGAAATTAACAGTGTTTCAAAATTGATCAGTTATGAAATTACTTTAATTTCAGCTGTAAAGCAGCTGTACCGAAGACAGTTGCAAATATTCAGATCAAATTAGTTCAAAGTTGATTCAGTTAAGTTTAATGACACTGTTGCAAAGTTCGTCAATTATGAAAGAATTCAGATCAAAATTAGATCAATGAGCTGAAGAGTAAGAGGTAAGAGCTGAAACTAGTTCAATACTGTTAAGTTCATCAAATATTAAATTCATTTAATCTATAAAGCATCAAGGCAATAGTATTATTGTTCAGCTCAAGTAATTACAATGTTGATTCAGTTCAGTTTGATGACAGTCAATGTTGCAAAGTTCATTCATTTTGACATCATTATCCAGCTCAATTCATTAAAAAAAATCAATGCTTTGATCTCATCCGATAGTGTCAGTGCAGTCAAACTGATCATATTTCTGATATTTGTCTGATATTTGTTTCATCCACACCGCAGTAAACTTGAAGTGGATCATCTGTATATGTCATACGCTGATATTATGGCAAAAGTAAGTCATAAACTTCTGAATTTGAAACTTTGAAAACTTTTCGTTTATAGATGTAATGAGAGCTGCTAACCTTACATATCTCTCTGTTCAGAGCTGCCACATTGGTGAGGAGGACGAAGGGAGAGAGGAGGGGGGCGAGGAGCCATCCTTTGAGGTGCGACAGACAGAGATGGTATTGGGGAGGCCTGGGGCTGGGGCCATGGGAGTCAGCGGAGCCAACAGCTACAGCTACAGCTCCTGCCACGCACGTCCAGAACCACTGCACCCCGCACACTCGATGTCTCTCATCCTTCCAGCTCTTCTCTTTCTCTGTCTCTCCTTCTCTTTTCTCTTTTCTCTTTATATCTGTTGTGGACTGATCTGTGCACTCCTTTGCTGGATTCTGAGTCTTTGTCTCTTTAACAGCGTATCTTTGTGTTTATTGCATGACTTGAGCGAGTGCAGAGAGATGGCTGCACACAAAACAGATGAAACAAACAAAAAACAGAAAAAAACATGTTGAACACATCACAGTTTTAACCAATTTGGCTTCATTTGTAGACCGGCAGCAATAAAAAAGGAAGCTAGTAGAGGTGTGAATAGTTTTTCTAGCACTTTTCCCCCAGCTGGCAGACCAATAATGCAAAATATTTGCAAAACAGGCTGACACTGCCCTCAAAACTGCATTGTTGTTTTCTCAGGGTATTTAGAGTACTGTACTATTAGCGCTTTTGATGATTTATGGAGTGTGTGTTTGTGTGTGAGAGTTAAGTACGCACTCATACACACACTCAACAAACGCCTTAATTGGTCTCCTAATACTAGAGTGACCATACGTGCCATTTTCCCAGGACGCATCCTGGCCAGGATTTCTATACTGCCTAAAATATCTAGGTTTTGGCTTTGTTTGCGTGTGCAGACCGATCAGTGACATCAAAGTACCTCGAGAGCATTTTGAAAGCATAAGGAAGCGTCTGTATGGTATTTTGATGTCACAGATCGGTCTGCACACGCAAACAAAGCCAAAACCTAGATATTTTAGGCAATATAGAAATCCTGGCCAGGACGCGTCCTGGGAAAATGGCACGTATGGTCACCCTACCTAATACATTACCAGTCCCACCTCTCCAGAACCCCTTCTTCTCTGAGTTTGTAGGCAGTCGCCTGTAGTTTTCCATTCTGTCTGCATCTTTTGTATCTCACAGCTTTACTGACCTACTAACCCGAAAGACTTTGAATTTTCGTCCTTCCTGATATGATTTAAATTCAGAAAATATGTCTTCACCTTCTCACCTGGCCACAAAAATTCAGGTTTAGGGAGTTTCATTTGCTCCATTACATAACCTTTAGAGCTGGCAACCTCTGCAGGATTTTAAGGAATCATTAAGGTATGTTCTTGATATATAGTCTGTTCCAAAGAATAGACAGTATAATTATCCACCTTTTTTAAATGTAAAACATTTGTAACTTGAATGTGCAAGGCTTCCAGTGTCAGATGCTTCCAGTTATTTTTAGCTGAAATGGAAGTTTCACACAGAAAATTGCTTACTTCCTCATTGCAAAATAAAGGTAAGATATATGGAAAAGGCAGTCCCAGAATTCCCAGTTTCAGTAAAAAAGAATTTGAGAGAAATGTTAAATATACTTGTTTTATACACTACTAGAAAAATAAAAGAATATCTCCATCTTATAAACAATTTCAGACTATTATAGTATTTGAATGTGGTATGCATATTATGCAGATTACAATATTGTGTTGTTAGCTTAGCGACATGCTAATATCACCCGTAAGTTTGCGTGTTTTAATTTTTAGAGTGGTGTAACTTCCAACACCTTCTACCACCAACATCATGTGGTAACGGCAACACAGTCTCATAGCAGGTTGTAACTATTTTGCATTATGTTGAATTGGTGGCTAATTAGTATGAATTAATATGGCTAATTAGTATGAATAAGTTCCCTTTCAGTCGGTCACTCTCGACGTCACGTCGGATGACCGACGAATTGGGATCTCGCTTAGAGAGACCAATCTACTTCGAGTGTAAACTAAACGAGCCAATGCACATTGGCATGCGATCATTGCATCCAGCTGCCGCTGATCACAGCGTGAGTATAAGTAGGCAGCAGATGCAGCGCATATTCAGCTTTTCGCTGAGGAGCCAAGCGGTTCTATCGTTCTGCTTCTGACCTTCTGCTAAAAGTAAAGACTACAGTCGAGTCAAGCACGCTCTTCGAGGGCTCTCGTGCTGGTGGTACGGCGCTTCAGCGGTGGTGGTTTCCCGTGTCGAATGGGTTGCACACATCAGGCTGCACTACCCCCTGTGTATGTTGCAGACGGCCATCTCCCCTGTGCGCTTCATGTGTAACTATTTTGCATTATGTTGAATTGGTGGCTAATTAGTATGAATTAGTATGGCTAATAAGTATGAATAAGTTCCCTTTCAGTCGGTCACTCTCAACGTCACGTCGAATGACCGACGAATTGGGATCTCGCTTAGAGAGACCAATCTACTTCGAGTGTAAACTAAACGAGCCAATGCACATTGGCATGTGATCATTGCATCCAGCTGCCGACGGCCATCTCCCCTGTGCGCTTCAGCACACTAAAAGAGCAATTTCTGTCTAAAAGAGCTTCACGGGTGGAACGTCTTTTTAAAGATGTCTTACCATCCGTGTGTTTCTGGGTGCGGTCGTTACCTGGCGCCGGGTGATGGTCACGATCGCTGCCTCTCGTGTCTGGGCATGAAGCACGCTGAGGTGGCTTTCGTGGATGAGTCATGCTCCCATTGCAGGAGTATGACCGTCTCGGAGTTGCGGACCAGACTCCGTTACCTGCCCTGTTTCTGTCAGTGGCCGGACTGGTCTTACGGTTACGGTGAGGAATTCCCCTCCAGGGACTCCCCATCCCGCCGGCACTTCGAAATCAGTGGAGCTCTCGAAAGAGCAGGCTGGACCCTCCCGGGGGGTACCACCTGTTTCTTCCGAGGCTCCCCCCGACGATCGGATGTCGATTGCAGCATCGGAGGGTGAGCCAGACGGAGGGTGAGACGGCCAAGACACAGTTCTTGAACGCCCCCGTGTCCCAGACCGGCCTTTTTGGCGACACGGTGGAGAACTTTGCCCAGCAGTTCTCCGCTGCCCAAAAGCAGACTGAGGCCATCAGGTACATCCTGCCCCGGCGTGCAGCTGCTGCCTCCA